TATCGCAGACCAAACCCTGGCATCGAGCTGCCAAGAGAACATAAGAGAAACAGCAAACCTAGAACAAACTGAGGAAAAAACAGTCTAATGGGTGTTTCTCTGCCAGTAGCATTTCTAAAATGGGCTACTGCTGTCTTGAGCGTGGTGAGAGATGGGGTTTGCCCAGTGGGATCCATCACACCCAGGCACTGGCGCCCACCTGAGCTGGGAAGCCCCTGCGCCAGATCAGCGAGTCGCCCTCCTCTCGCTCCGAAACACATTGCCTTGCACGGACCAGAGCTGTCTGGAAAAACTAATTCTGCTGTACGCTGTGTTGCTTCACACGCTGTCACCATCCCCATCCCAGCCTGCACACGTGCAGGAGCGTGCCTAGGGCGAGCGAGGGGAGGGTGCGAGGATGCTCTGCCCAGGCGGGGAGAGCCGAGCTGCAGCCCCGCATCTTTGTTGTTTTATTGGCGAAGTACGACAGACCTCCAGCCAGCATGCGAGCAAGCAAAACTGGCATATACCACTTCTAGATCTTGAATAAAAGGGTTAAATATACACTTTCACATCGGTCAGATGTAGGGCATCACCTTCAGAATGCCGTGGCTGCGCTGGCAGAATCACCTGCTCCTTCAGACTGGACAAACGGCAGTGCTCAAACTCAGGGTTCACCGCTTCACGCTTACCCTGGCGAGAGCTCCCAGTCAGCGACGGAGCAGGAAGGCAGCACCCCATCACTCGGAGACCCTAGCATAACAGTGTCTTTACCCTGAACAGAGGAGTCCGTAGCCAGATGAGTCAGCGTGTGTTTGGTTCAATAAACTCCTCTATTTCAATCTGACCTAGTTATATGATCCACATAGCGTGTTTTACAGAAGAGATTACATAAAAGCACAGCAACTTTCTGAATTCAGTCTGGATCCCCCAAAACAGTCTCTCTTACTCTCACTTTCCGAGTTATTTCCCCCTGTAAAAATAGCAAGAGGAACACAGATGACTGACAGCAATAAAATTCTCGTGAGCTAATGACTGCACTCCACATGCCCCCGTTAGTTAAGGATGAATTAGCAGAACGGCTAAGCACGACTTGCAATATTACAGCCCCTCTAACTCTTGTTCAGCTACACAAACACCCTCCGCTTCTACACTCACACTCTCCAGTCACATTTGTTCCACCCACTGCTTAAGGAGGACACTAAATATATAAACAGAAAATCACTGGGATTGTGGGTGTATTCTGCCTGAGCAGCGCGCACCGAAAATATGTCCTTCTAATCGCATATGCATTTCCTTCTCGGTCTTTAACAGCTAGCGTGAGTCACACTGCTACGCTTCCTTAGAACCTAGACGGCGATTTGGAAGACTTATGCTAAAATATGAAAAAAAATAGCAGAGAGCTTTCCTCTTCCAGATGCAAGGGGGCAAATCTTATTTCCACAGTTGCCTATTACCCCTAAAGAGGGGGAAGCAATTATCCATCCAGAAAAGCAATTCGCAGCGCACTAAGCCATCCTAAAAACACATAAAGATTAACCAGAATTGAAAGTTATTAGGAAGGGGATCCCAGACTCTCCGTGGAAACTCAAACCAAAACCAGTTTTCTTCTTTACATCTCTGTGTCTGCAATTGCTTTAAAAGTTGCAGCTTTAAGGGTTAAGGGTTTAACACAGCTACACCACCGGCCCCTCTTTTCCTGGAGCTCCCTTCCCAGACCGGCATGTGAACGGAGCCTATCACCTGCAGGTAGCACGACAGGTCACAAACGCATCCCACCCACGTATGCTTGGCCTGGTCAGCTGCCTGGTACTCGCCCACTCCTCCCCACACCCGTCCTCTTCACCCAGCATTCTTCTCTTCCTTCTTTCCATCCATTTCTGCTGTCATGCGTCTTTTACGCCTCTGTTTCTGCTGCATCACCCGCATCTAAAGGCTCCTTGCTGTCTTTCTCTCCATCCCATGCACCCTCTGAAGCCCTCTTACTCTCTGAATCCCAAAGCAGCTTTGTCATTTGCAGTTCAATCATCTCATTTGCTCACAAATGAAAAAGAAATAAAAAAAGAGAGAAGGACAGAGAGAAACAAGAGAAAGTAAAAGAAATTCTCCTCACCTACTAGCCACCATGATTCTGCTCCAAATCCCAAAGACATGATGCTGCAGGTTTCAGCAGCAATGTCTTTCAAACTGCTTTGCAGGATATTTTTAGAAAATAAATGAAAAGAAATTAAATGGCACCATGCAGCCCAAGCCAGAGGAGTATTAGCAGTATGTGGGCCTTCAGACAGCTGGCCAAAAGTTCCTACCACCGAAGGCTGAAGAAACATGGGTGCCTTCAGCAATGCTGCAGTCCAAGAGTTAGAGACCTGCTAAACTACGCAGGCTGCGTGCCTGAGCCTTTACTGCACTCACAAACGGCGAGCTATCTCAGAAACGCCGCTGCCAGGGTAACATGCTGGATTCTGGGTGTGTGAGCTGGCCCAGCCGATCTTTACAGGGCTTTGTAAGAGAAATCAAAGCCCGTGTCATGGGATTCTTCAGTGTACAACATCTCTGTTCTGACACGCTCCTGAGGCTGTGGGTGGAAGATCCAAACAAAATGATGGTGCTGCTTCTTAGCAGCCATATCATCTCAGATGCTTTTGAACTCCTGGGTGCTTCTATTGCTCAACAGAAGATTGAGAAATAGTTTTCTACATCTCAGTAGAAATCTTCTCATTTCTCTGTTAAAAAATAATGATGGTTTCATCTTGTGACCACAGCAAGCCACACAAACGCACTACCACCTCTACGCTTTAGAGAATTACCTCAATGACCAATTATTTTAAACAAAACTGCAGATGCTAATCATCAGCTGGAAGCTTTTGCAGATAATGAGATGTGATGCACAGATTGTAAGATGTACAAAGCCAGAAATCCACCAGTAATACACGTTATTCGTACCCTTTATAGAAGAGAAAGCAACTCCTATCTTGGTATAGTAAAAATATTCAGTAATCCAAAGCAATTAACCTTATTACTAACAAATGCATATTCATCTCATCTTCCTACGAACTGGGCTGTGTATATGAATCAGCATGGACCAAGGGATGAAACATTTGGGGGATGATCCTGTTTTTGAGACAACTGAGTAGCTATTCTTTGAATTCCTCAGCAACTCCCTCCCATCCTCCTTCTCTCTGTCTCTTTTCCTCCTTGTTAATGTGACAAATTTGGCATCTTGTAGGCTGCATCCTTCCACCAAGGCTTCAGAGCCGCTTTCACAGTGTAATTGTTAACTGTCAGTATCATTTGTCCACCCAGGAAAACCATCCTCAGGATCAGGACTCTACTCATGCAAATACACATGAACCCACCCGGCCTAAGTTTAAAGTTATCCCTAACACAAATCTACATCCCTCTGTATTTACCTTAATTTTTTTCCAGTGTCAACAACATAAAAAAGAGGGTTCAAAGCCATTTATTTCAATGCAGAAAAAGCATCATGATTTGGAAAGTGCGAAACTATGCTCCTGCCTGAACAAGTCATTAATACGTCAGCTGGATGTTTCACATCAGCAAGGAAGAGGGAAAAGGTTCCTATCCAGGGTGCAAAAATTTCATTTCAGTCTGTAAGTGAACTGGGTTGGATAGGAGAATGATACAGAAGAATCAAGGAAAAATCAAATGCGAAAAATCACAGGAGAAAGGCACATGCAGAGAAACAGAAAGCTCTAAAACGCATTTCAAAAGGCTATCTCAGCACTGTGTAAACATCAGAGACGAGATCACGGGTTTTGTAGGTGCAATCAGATGTACTTTTAAGCAAATTACTTGGCCTTATCCAAATGGTTCTCTCCTCTTATTAACACAACATCCATATCAAGAAATTGTGTTTGTTCAACTCATTAGGATTTTTTTCTTATAGTTATGAAACTCATTAGATTCATAATCATTCATTGAAATTATCCCATACTGCGATGAATGCTCTATTACATATACTGAATAACAATTCAACACTGCTAGGTGCTTTGCTGCTTTATAGCCTTAAAGGGTAACAAATCCTGCAGAGGCTACACATGTGAAAGAAGTATTCCTACCTTCATTTGTGTTTGCCTGTTTATGTAAACAACCTCATTCAGAATACACTCCGGCTTTACTGGGAATATCATCTTAAGGTGAAACTTTCCCCCCAACGATACTGGCTTTTAGTCTAGATAAGCGCAAAGAGATTTTTCGTGATACAGCAAAGTGACGTTGGTCTGAACCCTGGGTTCAGCCCCTCTAATTCATCATTGTTGTGTAAGTTCGTAGCTAAAACGATTGCTCATTGAACTACTGAAGTTAGACGTAGATTACAAAATCAGGTCATGCTAGTTCCAGGCCATCACTCTTCACATTTAATTTCTTGGTGCTTTGTTCCAGTTCACCTACAATGTACTTTATAAATCAGTAGAAGTAATTTCAACCTCAACACCATTCTTAGGGTTTTTTGGTTCTTGGGTGGTTTCTTCTTCTATTTTTGGGTTAGAATGAAAAATAGCTGTTTAAAATCCAATAAAATCAGGTACCCTACTTCAATTCTGTAAACATTCTTTTAGCAGAAGTTTAATTAATCCATTCTAGATTAGGGATAACTCACACCAGTTCAAAATGGAGCTAAACACTATCAAACAGCAGGATAGTCATGCTGAAGGATAACTCCTCTACCAAGACAAAATTCCTCAGAAATTGCTCAAAGGCAAAAATAAAAAAAAGAAAATAAATACATTTAGAAATGCTCTCTAACTCTAAGGCCATCACTTTGTGATGTATACAAAAACACTTTCTGAAAATAGATGCAAACGTCCTTGGCGGTAAGGCAAGTTAGACCAGAGTGGAAGAGAATTCCTGCCTCAGCATCAAGAAATAATTTCACTCACGTGTTTTGCATTTGTTTGGATTTTTTAAAGACTGTAAGAGAGCAGTAGTAGAAGGCTCTGAGCTACTAAAACTGTGCATACACAGAGAAAGCAATGAAAGGAAACAAGATTGGTCCCTACCATCTCCGACAAACTGCAGGAGGGCTAGATCAATCTGTCTCTTCCACGGCGATCCTTTCTGCAGCGCTATTCCATAGCCCGTTGTGGCAAAGATGTATCCGCTCCCTATTGTGACCAGTTTGCAGCCTTCATCTCTTCCAGCCTTGTAATTCAGCACCGCTGCATCATAGATGAAAGCATCCAACTTCCTGAAATAAAAGCAAACATTTTACAACCCAAATCATTAGGGACAGCTGTTGTCAGACTTCTCTTGTCCTTGATGTTAAGGGCCTGTTGACTATCACATGGAATCTTTGATATAATTAATTACATATCCTGTTCTGCTATGTCTAAAATTAACAAAAGGCATCTATTTTAGTGAGGGGAAAGTAGGACACATAGTTTTGCATTTCTGTTTTAAGGAATGCTGTTAAAAAATACTGAGCAGGAGAAGCCAAGCCTCAAAATGTCTTGCCCTGTTATCTTTCTGTCTTTGCTCTCAAAATGGATAATAAATACATTGAGATGCAAAATTATCTCCAAAAACAACAGAAATGACAATAAAGAATTCAGAATTGAAAGAACAATAAACAATTATCTTATTTAAAGTACTGAATGAGATGGAAAATGAGACTTCACCGTTTTCCTACACACACTCTTCTTTTATGTTTCTTTCCAAAACCAGACCATGAAGGTGGAGGTGAAGTCCTTGCTAAGGCAGAGGAAGGTATTGAAGCATACCTGCTATAGCTGTCTAAATCCTGCTTAAAAATTACAGAAAATATGTCTTTCTGACTCGCAGTTCCAAACATATTATTTGTGTACCTGGACCACAGCATAAATAAAGCAACATCTTGTGGAATATTTCAAGCCTTTCAGCCCACCTACCTAAAAATGTAAAAAGGGGATAATCCCATTCTCTAAGGCATACAGGGAACAACAAACCAGAGGAAAACAAAATTGGCAAGGAAAGGCAAAGAGGCAGTGTCCTTCAGGGATAGTTTTTAAGCAGCACCGTAAAGCAAGAGTAAGCAGAGACAGGTGCACGGATGTTTCACAGCCGGAGCCAGTAAAAGTGCACAGACAAGAAGAGGAGGCCATGTGGAAGGACAATTCCTTGCCAGCAGCAGACCTCGATTGAAGACAATACGTTTTTATACCTACAGAAATTCATAGGCAATCTTGAAAAGGAGAAAGATAAAACTGAAGTATGTTTTGCATTGCTGCCCTCATCTGCAGCCAAAACCTTTAATTTAAGATTTCTACCACTTGCACAAGGCTAGCGGAATACAGAGGCAATGGGAAAACACTGTCACCTCAGCCCAACTCCCACCTAAACACCACACTAAACCAAAGTTATTGCTTCCCCCAGTAACACGCTCTCCCATTTCCACATCTCTGCCCATCCCACAGGAGTCAGAGCAACCAGGAGGACACAGCCGCACAACCGGCTTTGCAGGCTTGGGGAGGAGTTGCTGTCGCCCTCCCACCCGCCCTGGCCTGCTCAGAAACAGTTGGGACCTGTCTTCATGGAAAGGGAATTATAAAAATAAATTAACTGCGGCACAAACAGGTAAAAGAACATCAAGTTTGATTATACTATATCAGTATGTACCAACTGTGAATTCTGTTACTGCTGAAGTTTTGGAATCGCACTTGCCGCTAGCTCAAGCTAGCTTCTGTTGACTAAGCTCTTCACTCATACCCACAGAACAGAGCACGAACTCGGCACACCAGATTTTGGCTACTGACAGAAAAAATAAATATTTCCATGCACGACATGATTCAGTGTGTGTTCTTAAATAATCAGTCAACAGATTCATACAGAACCCAACTTTTGTGGAACTTTAGATCAGAAAGCAAAAATGGGGCACTAAAGAATACCCCTACCCATCTCAGGCCAAACCAAGAGAAATACTAGGAGAGAGTGAGGTGGTTGGATTTTGTCTGCTGTCATGAACAAGCGAAGTTCCTGTCACTACTTTCTGTGCTTTACTGCTTTTCTTCAAGGATACTCACCCCAACAGTCACCATTCAGGTCATCAAACTGGAATTCAGTAAAGTAGTTGAGAGAAAACACAGGTGCCTCGCGCAACCATTAAAAGAAATAGCTGGGCCATCAGCATCTTTGCTCTTCCACTCTTCCCTAAAACTCGGTGCGATCCCCAGCATAAAAGTCAGCTTAGCTCCATCGATGCCAGAAGTCTGACTCTCCTTGCTTCAAAAACTGGTAATTTAACATGGAGAAAACACTGCTCAACATCTGGAAGGTGACGTGTCACAAAATCAGTGAGGAAGTAAGATCTGCATGGCTACCTAGCACGGAGGGGACTGAGCTGGAAATAGCCAAGAGGCTGTTGGGGAGGAGGTGCTGGGCTGCTGCCCAAGCTTGCAGTCCTCAGCACAAGGCCAGACAGTTTTCTAAAAGACGTGCTTGGATTCAGCACTTAGAAGACAGTCTTTGGTTTGTGTAGAGAGAAAGAACAAAAATCCATGTCCGTTGGGTAGGCACACAAGGGCGAAACAGAAAACCGTCTGCTGTACCCTCAAGACACTTGTAACATTTCTGCTCTACAGCAGACAATCACCATAATCAATGCAATCCAGTCTCACGCTTTAGACCTCTGCAGCTGTCCGCAGGGAAGGAAGGGTGCCTCTGCCGCAGGCAAGGGGCTGAGAAGCACTGCTCCTGGCGGTGGGCACTCACACAGCTGCAATCACCAGACCCACGTTAAAATCCGCTCCGGAATTTGTCATCTGCTTATTCTGGGATTTATAGTTTTGCAATGTAAGCATATAAAACACAGGCTGTTAAACACAGAGAAAATAGAAAGAGTCAGCTCTTCTTCTGTCAAAACAGACTCAGCCAGAAATACAGAGGAAAAAGATATTTTTGCTAAAGACTCCCAGGTGGAAGCCTTGTGCTACCTCAGAAATGACGCTCT